GTCTGTTAGCTACCATAATTTAGAATACAAATAAGGAAGAGGCAATAACATTAATCTTTTTTCCACTTCACTTATTATATCACCCTAATCTGAAGATTCATCTCTTATCAGCACTTTTTGTTTTGGTTGACCATGAGTAACTCTATCAAACATTCTGAAAGTTAAAATATTCCTACTGTATGTACAGTATCTTGAGATTATATACAAATATTCTGCTTAATGAAAATCTAGACATAGAATATCATGTAATGTGTATGTATCCACTATGGCTGTTGCTTGTCCCAAGAACTTTATACTTGCTGTTTAACTCAATTGATAAATAGTGTGCCCAGAGTGTGGGTTGGGACCTACAGTACAGTACAGCTCATAAATTTGCTCATTTTGTGCCAGTGGCAGGTTTCCTGTGAAGGGATGCAGGGACAATGGAATTGCTAGTAGTTATTGTAAAGCCTCAAAGATATCGTATTGTGAGGTAATTGAAAAACTCAAACACACCATTGTGGAGAGAACTGAACTTTAATTTGCTTATCTATTTACATGAGCTCTAAGCCCATATGGAGAACTTTATTACAGATTTAAACTGTTTAAATTCCAGAGGGATTCCTTGCTCAGAGCTTAAGGCCTTCTGAAAGTAGGACAAAGCAGTGGTGAGATGGTGCTGAAACTCACTGCATTCGTCTGAGATGGAGGAGTAGAGGAATTGACGCAGGTTGCCTGTGAATGGTAGCAGGAATAATGACAGTAGTTACTACAGGCCACTATGGAGACAGGGTCAAAGACTTGTCATTAGTTCATCTGAGATTTTGTGATTTAATTGATGTAAAAGAGTATTAGATATTGAAATAGTCACAGTAATACTTAACTATGCCCCCTTACTTCCATGGTTCTCCATACAGAGTGTTTATTTAAATTTTAAATCACAAAATATACAGTATGGAAAACCCTGAATCTGTTATGTGATTGTATGCAGAACCGAATGGAATACCACATGACGTGTCACAATGTGGAATGAGAGAAGTTAATTATTGTCACTTTCCTTTTTCATTGTATTCCAGTTATTGTATCTCTGCAATATTGTTCATTCTCTGTATCCCAGGTCCCTGGAATAAAATGGCAGCAGAATACATTAGGCAGAGAGGTCAACTCCGGAAAGGCTCTGCTTCAGGAACCAAATTCCCATGAGTTAATTAACCATTGTCTGCACACATCCAAACTTCTTGTCAGCATACAGTATGTGCATAATTTACTCACACAAAGCAGCAAGCCTTATAATGCTTTATTGTCTTTCTTATTTAAATTATTATATTTAATCACATAATTATACTATACTTCATTATAGAATTATAAATAAAAACTTCTAAAACATCTTTTACCCATTTTTATCAGTCTCCTGTAGATCAACCATTGTTTTCTTGCAGCATTAATAAATATGGTCATTTCTCTCTTCCAGTAGAATGCCGTGCTGTGTTTACAACAAAATGTGTCACATGCTGTTCTGTCAGTATTTCTACATTCTGCCTTGCAGCATAATTATTCTCAAAATTATTTACACATCCATCGGTCAAAAGGCAATTGGGGACTGAACCTAATTTTCCATCTAGGATATGATACAGAAAAAAAAATGTTTCTGCATGCAGGACCCAAACTAACACTGTATCATAATGAGAAAGACAGTTAACTGGAGTCATCAGTTTATTTAAATATGAATATGTATTTGCATGTGCAAATAACATATAATGCTTAAGTTTGGCTATTGTCATAAATGGCCATTGCTGCACATCCAGATTACATTGTGAAGGAATTTGAACAAAATAAGCACACAGCATGCCCCTTTTGTGCTGCTTTATTTAATGCATTTTGTTTTTCACTAAGAGTATTGTGCAGATTAGATGTGATGCAAGAAACACAAATACATTTAAGTAATAATCCATCCATCCATTTTCTAAACCACTTTACCAATATGGGATCACGGGGGGAGCTGGAGCCCGTCCTGGCAGGATAAGCGTTAGACAGGATGCCAGTCCATCACAGGGCACACACAGACACAGGCACACGCACTTCAGGGAGTTTTCCCAGAACCCATTTAACCTACCAGCATGTCTTTGGAAACCAGAGCACACCTCCATGCAGATAACACCCCAGTTGAACACAGGGCCCAAGTGCTGCAAGGCAGTAAGGCTAACCACTGTGCCACTGTGCGGTGCTCTAAGTAAAAAAAAATAACACAAAATACAATATTACAAAAATAAATTCATGAAATGTAAGACATATTCAGGCTGACTACTGTACTAATAATTGTCACAGTTGCAGTCCCTCCCCCTTAAGGGCGCTCCGGCTCTTTCACTTCGGACTTGATTTTGTGCACCTGCCCCCTGTTCCAGCTTCCTTCCAGCCCACCTTAAAAGCCAGATGCCCATTCAGTTCCGGGCTCTGCATTGGTTCCCGTACCAAGCGAGTCCGGGATCTGAGCGTCTGGTCCCATTCCCCCCTTCTCCCCCCCCGACCCTCCACCGGATCCTGTTCTGGTTTTTAATCCTGTTTGTCCTCATCTCAGATGGACCGCCCGACTTTGGACTTTTTGCCTTCATCTTGGTATTTCCCATTGGAAACTGTTTTGGATTGTTTGCCCCACCCCCCAGAACACCTGCGCACTATCTGTTTTAATTCCCGACACCTGCATGCTTTTTCCCCTGTGTTTTCCTCACTCATTCCGGGATTGTGTCGTCTGCATAGGGCCCCGAAGGAGCGCGTTGTTACAATAATGGGCTGACTTTGTAACCACCGGTTATGCAGTTAGTGTACGGTGCAATGGTACTACTTTTAATATCAGTTTTCTGGTGTATATTCCATGCCACATTCACAAAATAGTGGTATTTTGTTTGAAATTTGGAAGGAATTTGAAAATATGCAAAAGTCCTTAAACCTCAATTGTGAAAACAGGGACCAAAGGTCCCTGTTAAAGGTCAGTATTAACACAAATGACTGGGGGACGGAGCAGAGGTGATGCTACCTTCTTGCTTTCTTCATTTCACCTCTTAAGACAGGCTTATTAGAAATATTTGGTAAACCCTTCAAAACTGCATTCTCAAGTCAAATATTATAAAAAGCAACACAGCACATAAGACACAGGCTATGACATGTAAGAATAAATACAATATTTGAACTTTCTATCAGGGAATGATGTACTATACGGTATGTTGACATACTGTATATTTACAGCTAAATCAATGTAGCCCCATGGTTCCAACAACCCCCTGTCCTCTCTCAGTTAATTACCTTTCTTTTTTCATTCCACTAGACTAGATTTGGTTTAAAGGGTTTTTGTTGATTTAATAACGCTTTGATAACATAAAAACTTTCCAACTTGCAATGTAAAACCAGACAATGTGCAATATAAAACCAAGAACCCATTTAATACTAAGCAGACCACCGAAGCTGCATTTGGTAATCCTTGCAGAATGCTAGACAGCATATTTAGGCTTGCACAGAAAGTGAAGTTGGTAGAGTAATTTGTTAAATTGAAATTTACAGTCGATGGGCAAGGACATGGGCGTATTCACAGCAAGTTCACATTTTCCCATGCTCTCGGCAGAAATTAAATCAGTCACTTTATCAAATAGTCCCATGAATTTCTAAGGTCCACTTAATGTAATTCAGTCAGTTTGGTGGAGGTTTCTGTTGCTCTTTATGAAACACACATTATGATAAAGTAACTGCCGCAAAGAATGTGTTTCTTGTGGTTGCTCTTTCCCTGGGACACAAGTGAGCTGCTGTCTGTGAAAGTAGCTGGACAATATTGTGAGTAACTGTTGGGGAAGACAATCCAGATTAGGAAGTCGGCTCTCGTTTATTTTCGAGTCTCATGAAATTACATGAATTCTTCTGTCATCCTCTCCAATATAAATAATTTGCTTGCACTGGCAGTATGCTTTCCCTCCCTCAGCTGAGCAATGTAGTGCATTTGTGCAATTATTTCACAACAAAATCCATAGTATTAATAAACGGTTTCTGAACTCCTGCAGCCATGGCAACCATGTTCGGTTCTGATTTCACAAGTTTGAATTTTCCTTTTTTTTATTGCTGTTGATGCTTCCAATATAACTGTGATGATATGTAAAATAAGACAACTATCTGTGTCCTAGACCCTATTCCTTCTCCCCTACTCAAAACTTGCTTCTTTGTTCTTTGTCCTTTATAGTGTAGGTAGGTCATACGTCCAGATTATTTTAAGGATTTATCATATGCGTGCCTTTGGTCTTGATCTGATGATACAGACGTTTTCCAGCTCTGATAAAGACCAAGCTTGACAAAATGCTCAGTAGAGCCAGCTTTCTTATGTGCAGGACCATATCTTTGAAACATGTTGCCCAAATCAATTAGAGACTCTTTGAATATTGATATTTTCAAAACTTGTTTAAAGACTTAATGTTTTGAGGTTTGACTTAGTTTTATGCTTGTTTTCAGTAAGTCGGCATACTGTTTCCCACCACTATTCTTTGTACATATAAATACTGTACTGTAATATATTGTGTTGTACAGTGTTTTTTATTTCTTAAAAAGCTCTCATCAGTATTGTGTCTTATGATGATGATGATGAATCTTCACACTGTAGGTTACAGGTGATTGTCAGGAAACATTTACAAACGTCAAACGTTAATTGCCTTTGTTGGGAATAATATACATTTTAACAACAATCCTGCAGTGCCTGTTAATAGAAACGAATACATCCGTTGCCAGTCTGCTGTCTGGCATATTGTCAGAGCAATGAGGTTAAGATGAAGATATCAAATTTACCACAGTGGGAAAAAAAATCCACATGGTCTTCACTGAGTGGTAAATGAGTCATCAGCATTTATTATTCAGATTTTCAAACACCCCTTTTCAAAACACTACTTTTCCCACAATTTCATCAGGGGTTTGGCAGGGATGGGTTTCTCTGACGGCATGCCTTGTTTCACCCTGCCTTCTACGTGGTAGGTGACATGCCTTTTCTTCCTCAGCAGTATCTGCAGTCCTTCCAATATAGCTCCAACTAGCGTGGTCCTGCTCTCCACCTCCTTCTCACCACCTCCTTCTGCCTCCATTCAGCCTCAGAGGTACATGAATTTCTGCACTCTTGCCTCATCTCCATCCCCTGCCTGCTCTGCCAGCTCAAGCCTTGGACGCCTTTCTAACCCTTTCTGCCATTCTGCTCCCCTCTCTGTGCCCGGCCCTCTGCATGCCCTATGTGTCTTTGCAGTTCTTACAGAGCAAATGCTGAATGCATGTCTAGGATTGCAAGTTACAGTATGTCAGAACCTTGAGATTGCTGGTCTATAGTTTTTTTTTAATACAAAAAGAGTCCAAATTAAATAAATATTTTCAGGAAGAAATACATTATTGTACTTTGGGAGAACATTTACTGTTGGGACAGCACCGTGTAATATGAATTCTGCCTAGATGGATTCTACCCAGAAAGAGCCCATGCTGGGCTAAAATATGGAAGTGTTTAAAATTATGTTCCGTGACTTTTGGTCAATACCAAATGACTAACATGCCCTGTGCATTTTACCAGTGGTTTCTCCCAGTGTTTGGAATAATTTGTGTGCTTCGAATATGAATCGTCATCCACAAGATCCTTTGCCTGGGCTCTTATCCACTGTTGCGTTTTTATGGGTAGTACCAACTAGAGTTGTTATTTAATTGATATGCTTGAACCACAGCCTTTGTTCTCCTAAAATGATTACAGTTACAACTCACAATTCATGAGGAATAACGACATCCAAGAATCAGATTCTTTACTAATGTTTATTGACTATTTAATACAATAAGCTTTGACTTAACTAGATAATGATTGTGATTTAAAACAGCTGGATGAGACTGAGACTGGCTTGTCTGTCATTATTCTTCCCGAACTTCAGTTAAGAACTTCCATTTCTAAGTGTTAAAGGACACTTTTTAATGATAATACTGTAGATCTCATAATGCTACACGGCTAGATCTACACAGGTACTGTATTAAGCTTGCTGTAAGAGGAAGGAAAATGTCTTTTACTCCTTTATAATAGCCCATTCCTACACATAGGTTATGATCACAGACATCTAACAAAGAGCTCACCAAGACAGGAGAACTCTACTATTTTTATGTTATACCCCTTCCCACTCACATGTTCTGTATTGTATCAGCCCTATGGTACGCAAGGTACAGTATGATGCATGATGCACAAGGTCAAGCTATCACATACTGTATCAAGGTTTGCATGTACTCTTTTTTGTGCCTGGTGTTTTCACTTTCAAATAAGAAAATAATCGTATTTGGAAGTGCAGGATTAATTTTATTTATCCATCAAATTTAGTATCACCAAAGCTCTCCTTGACCAGTACAGTTTAAATTCTTAATTCCTTAGTGGAGAGGTTTTCTAACCTTGAAGCATTTAGGCTATCCTGTGCTTGCAGTGAAAGAGAAAGCATTCATTGCACGAAGTGGTAATGTATTTTTCTAGCTAGTGAAGAATCATTTCTCCTCTCAATGATATCGAGCAGTGACAGTTATAAAGACTGCAGAACTTGCAGAAGTCATGAGCACAGGATTCCTGTAACTCAAATACATTTATGTTTTCTAGTTATTATTTAGTGGTTATTTTTCAAACCAAGAAATGGATCTTTTATTTATTGAGTGGTAGCTGGTACTTACCTAGATCCCTTGTATGCGATTGCCTGTGTGTTCTAACTAATTTCCTGCATGGTGTGCTACCCTTCCTGAAGTCCAACCTTTTCACACTTCAGTACTTTTATTTCTTCTGGCATCTACTGCATCTCCCAATTTTTTTTTCTTTTCCGCCATAATCCTCCTGAGACATTTATCTCCCTGCGGGATCCGGGAAGTCGTTTCTCTCTATGAAGTTTCGGGCTATTTTGTAGGAACACACTCTGCTCCAAAGCAGGAGAAAAGATGTGTAATTTTTTGCATCTATGATTTGATGAGGCTTTGTACTTCTGCATCTTTAGAATCAATTTTAACCTTGTAATGAAATGTGATCACCTCTTCTGAATGTCTCTGCTCTGCTGGCTCACCGTACCATTCTTGATGTGGAAATAGAGTGCTCTTTATTTTTCTGTAACGCATTTTGAATGATGACCTTTAGCTTTAGTGGGCTATCCATTTTATTCATTAAGGGTGCAAGTAGAATAATTGAAAGCAACACTCAGGGCTTTAAAGCAAAGGAACAAAAGCTACAAAGCTGCTTACAGGGCAGATATTCCGAGGGATACGGAAATGTTGCTTGGTATACAGTGCTTCACAGGATTCGACAAACACGGTGCTTTTAAGATGACCCCGATCATCTCTTAGTCTGATCCAGCTCCTTTCCTCTGGCTTTGTCGCACATCCCATTGTTAGTGCTACACGTCAATGACCGTCAATACAATTCATTCTTTAAAACTTTGTTAGACTTTCATCCCATGATACGGAAATGAAAAAATCTACTATTTCTATCGCTGGAGAAAAATATTGCAGTGTTTTTTTTTCTTCCATAAGAGAGAGAGTCAGAGAAAGATAGAAATCCTTCCAGCTGATGAAAAAAAAAAACCCACAGGAGACGAAAGAGCAGAGTCTCATTGTATTGTATCTTGTGCTGTGAACTATTTTTGTAGCATGGACTGAATACTTAAAAACACAAAGGAGATGCAGCATTTTTGTCTAATCTCTTTGTATTTTTTTTTATTATTGTGCTAATCTGATAAGCCCTTTATAATTCCGTCTTCTTTACAGAATTGCATTTCAATGAATTTTCTCCTATTCCAGTGCTGTCAGTTGCACTGCAGTGACTCCAGTGAAATTCCCTCGTTTATCTGTGCTCTGTAATTCCTTATCAGCTTTACTGGCATTTGATTTAATATGGCCAATTATCTTCCGCAGGCCTGTCTGCATATTAAATATTATTATTAAAATGCCAGTTTTGTGTTTGAAACAATGACAGTCGGATATGGAAGTCATTTACAATTAGAGTGTGCTTGTTCTCCCCACTGTACCCCTACTGCAGCCTTCCATGAACAGTCATATGCAATGCTTGCACACAGAAACCTCTCTTTTATTGTTTGGTCATGTCTTGAGATCCCATTTTGAACATTGACTTTACACATTTGATTAGAAATGTTAAACACTGTGGAATAACAGGAACACTTTTCCAAATCAAAATTAGACAAAGCAATCAGAAATAATGTAGTTCCCCTTCTCCCCTGTGTGTAGATGCGCAGGGTTCATTGCCATCAACTGCAATGCGAGAAAGATATTTTGACAAACAAAGATATTTCTAAATTTTCTCAATTTTCAAAGAAAAAGAAACCATTCAGAATGGAAATTGCACAGATCCGTGTTTCTTACCATTAGTGTTCAGTCCATACAGTAGATGTCTAAAAAGTTCATTTTAGGAAACATATTTTTATATTAATAAATATGAATAGGAAATAAGATGTTTGTCTTGGACAAAAAAGCCATTATTACTAACTTCCTACTGAGAATACAGGTAGTGAACCAAAATGGATACACCAATGTAAAGTCACTTAATATGACTTAATAATAATATCACTTAATAATGATTCATTAAGGTGTGAAGAAAACAAGCTTATCATTTAGCAATCTTCAATTCATACCAATCAGGTTATTTAGAAACATGGTTGTTTTTGAATTTATTCATGGCCAGATAATCATTAAAATATATTATTCATTAGCATAATTTGTTCATTTCTATAAATCCATTATGCAAAGGTATCTTGTCGTGCTACAAAATACATGTCTACAAGGTTGAACTATTTTAACAGGATTTTTCTTTAAATAGTTTCAATGAACATCTTTATTGAATTCTCTTTCTGCCCAGACTCTGGCACAGCAGGGCACTATACAGGTATATCAGTATAATCTGAAAGGTTTCTTGTGCTCTATTCATTTTATGTGTTCTTGTGTTTATTTCAGGCAATGTGGTTACAGTAAGGCCAGTCAAGATGGAGATGAAGAACTGTATTTTCAATGTAAGTATGGAGAATTTCAGTATACAGTAGTAGTACTCAAAATCATCAGTTGCTCTTTAGGCAGATAAACTGTGAAAAACATCATGAAAGGGAGTCCTTAAAGAAATACAGTGATCTGTTCCTGAAGTTAAAACATTCCTGCTAGCCTGCTGTGACTGTCACAGTTGACCAACAAGGTAAGATTAGAAAACATTTTCAGGATATTGTGCTTGGCTTTATGGCAGAGCCCATATGGCTGTTTGTGTACACATGTGTAGGGGGTGTAATCAGTAAGAGGTGTGACTCCCTTCCACTCCCTTAACCCCAACTGCTCCAGGGGCGCTGTACAATGGCTGACCCTGCGCTCTGACCCCTAGCTTCTCTCTCCCTGTCTGTGTCTCATGGAGAGCAAGCTGGGGTATGTGAAAAGATGAAATCCTAATGCAAGAAATTGTACAGGGCTAATAAAGTGATGTTATGTTGTTACAGTATATTCCTGCTGTTGGCACTATAACCTTGCTTTGTAGCAGGAAGCAAAGAGTCCCTGACTGTGCTTCATCGAGCGAGGGAACATGTGTGTTTTCTCTTATGCTCACCTATTTGCTGTGAAGCCATGTTGATCAAAATATTAAGCTGGAATATAGAGAAGAATGTGCGAGATATTATATGAGAGAAAATACAGTAATTGATTAATTCCAGTTTTCCTTTAAGTAATACTATGCTTTTAGTATTCATGATGATTCCCTGATTTGTCATATTATAAGAGATAAAATGTTAAAATATTTTATCTACACATTCCATAGTGACCTTAACTATACAGTAGTTCCAGTTTACGAAAACACTTTATATCTGACATCAGCTATACTTGAACTTATTTCCTCATCATTCAGGGCCACACTTCAATGAGATTTTTACCTTTGTGTCATGAGGAACTCATTTGAAGGTGAATTTCTCAGCATTTATAAAACAAAATGAACAAGCTGTCACTTAAATATTTATTTTAGTAATAATAAACACAATTTAGTAATAAATAAACTGAATAAACTGTATAAATACTCACTGTATCTCAGTCTGGTTTTTACGGTCAGTTAAAATGGTCTTTCATCCCCTGTAGGATGTATGACACTAATAATCAGCCTCAATGCTGTGGGAGATTGTTTACACATTTATCCTCCATCCTCCCATTTACACAGACATGCTCTGCAGACTGAAGACAAGTGTCTAGTCTCTTGCTTTCCCTTAGAGCAGTAGCATTTGGGACATGAAATTGGGCTGAATACCTGTGAAAAATAGCATTTTTTCTGCATATACCAAGTGAGACAGGTCAAACCATAAACAAGAAAAGAAAAACAGCTCTTTCGTGTCTTAGGTAGCACCTGCTAGAGTAAATCTCAGCCTCCATCTGGTGCCAAAACTTCTAAATTATTTATGTGTCTTAACAGTGCATCTTCTGAAGCACATTATCATACCATTTGATCTCACCAAGTTCAGTATTGGTGTAATAAACCTCCCTACAGACAGCAAGACTTGACAACTTCATAGCCCTGTGGCCATGCTCACTGAGCACAGAACACCAGGCAATCACAGGCATAGTTTGAGCTTGTCAAAGGGTGTTTGAGGCTATGGGCACACTATATACAGTAGGACATGAATTATTTTGTCTGGTTTTTGATTAGCCGGGCTTGAACAGATTTTATGTGAGATCACTGTTTCCATAAGATGTATTTCTATGTTCCTTGGTGGGTGCATATTAATGTGTGAGGAGGGGGATATTTAAAATGTCAATACTAGTCAATGCCTCCTATTCTAGAAAAGGGTTCCTCTGTGTCTGAGGTCGCTAGATAAAGTGAGTATGAATGGTTTTGAAACGTTCTGTGATATATAACTGAATTCTTACTCTTATCTAACTATAAACACAAGACTGGGTCATGATTCAGCTTACTGATGCATACTACATAGGGAGAACAGGAGAAGACAAGAGAGAAAGAATGAGCAAGACACAGTCTACTGCCTGTCTTGCCCCAAATACTCCTTGACCCACAAGGTCTATCAATCTATCACGTATTGAGAACTGAAGGGATTTTAAATTTGGGGAACTTACCTATATTTTCATATAGTTTGAAATATTGAAGCTTAATTTTTAAATCTTCCATTCTGAATTTTTCACTCTTGTCTATTAGTCTTTTTAACATTATATTAAAGGGCAGGCTCACCTCTCGAGGATTGATTAGATTAGGGAAATAGCCCTGTTTACTTGTAAGGTTTATGTCTACTTCTGAAGGCATTAAAGTGGTCAGCGTTACAAATAGCTGGTATAAGGTTGGAAGTATAATGATGAACTCTCATAACTCAGTCCTGCTTGTAATATAAGACAAAGGGGTGGGCAGATTGAGAAAACAATGATAATGAGAAAATGAATCGAAAGGAAGAAAGTTCATTGTATGTTTGGGAATGAAAGTGATTTTGTGATTTGATTTGCATTCCAATTTTCAATGTTCAAAGTGTCTTTTTAGCATATGTTGTATTATCCGGAGGCTTTCAGACTTGTGTTGTTAATATAGACTTATACCCAGCAATCAAAAAGCTGAGAAAGTGTTGAGAGAGTTACTGTATAAGACTGTCGTTGTCACGTAGTGCTCTTTCAGGACCCTATGCAGACAGCACAATCCAGGGGGGAGTGAGGAAAACACAGGGAAAATAGCATACAAAGGGGCTGGAAGAAAAACAGGGGGCATGCCCAAGGTGCGCTGGTGTTCAGGGGGGGGTGTCCACGGCAAACAATCCAAAGGAGTCCGAGGCAAATCCGAGAACAATGCAGTGTCCAAGACCGGGTGATCCATCCTGACAAAGACGAACAGAGTTAAAAGCCGGAGTGGGATCCTGAGGAGTGTCAGGGAAATAAAACGGGGGTCACAGGACCAGACGCTTCTTAGTCCTGGACTCAGAAGGTCAGGACGCCATTGAAGCCGATGCCGCCGAGTCGCTCCTGGACTCGCGGTTAGGCGGGCTTCAGGGCGTCCATCTTCCAAAGCTGAGCCCAGACTGGCAGGAACGTCTGGCTTTTATAGGACGGGGGCAGGAACCGGTGGCAGGTGCAGGAGATAGTAAGGTCTGGAGCGTCCTTAAAAGGAGAGGTTAACGAGCGTGACAGTCGTCGTAGGAGATGACGGTGTGTAGAAATGTAATGTATGTCTGTAGTAAAGGTGAAGCATTCTTGATCCTGAAACTGAAAAATGTCAGATAGCTGTAGTGTGACTTTAGTGTCATTAAGGTATAAAAGACAACAAGTGGCAAAAGCAGAGTGGTGAGTAGTTAGGCAGGCCAACACAATCAGGCATCCTGGAGAGGCTTTGAAATTCTTGGGAACGAGATAGAATTGAGATGCCAATGGGTGTTCAACAATAGAACAGTTAGTCCCAGGAGGTATTTCTTCATTGTGTGTATACCATATATATAACTGTGCAAGTGTCTGAATGACCTGCTGTCCTAGAAGCAATTTCTTTGAGTTTAATACCCAGATATAAAAGGCTTCTATACTGAAAACCTAGTGCAAACCATGAAGTATGAATGACATCACAGGCAACTCTTGGCAAGATGTCTTCAAATGTCAGGGTAAATATCTTCATTTGGTGTCTGTCATCTGCCAGTTAGATCTGCACTGAATTCCCAGTAGAACAGCGCTTGTGATAGTGAAATATGATTATTTCTGAGGTCATGGTTTCTCTGCTGACTGAGGACTTACAATAAATTACAAGTCTGTGTAAAGGATTGATTGGTTTATAAGGCAGTGTGATTGGTGTATCTGTCAGTTTTATCTGACAGAGTGAAATATTCTAAATCTTGTTATCCTTCTTAACACAAAGGTTGCTCAAACCTCATTTCTTGTAACATTAGAGGGGACATTTGCTAATTGTATTAATTAAAGAATAGCTTTTAAAGTTATCTTCTTACAAATTCCATGTCCAAGTGCTAATACATTAGTCTTTTTTAGAGATACTGTATAATTATATCAGCAAATTTTATGAATACAGTATCTTTATTAAGCATTATACCTGTATCTCCCACAGCAATGAAGTAGACACATCATGAATGTTAGTAACAAATCTTAGAGTGAAAAAAACATTCAACAGTCAGTGAAATTTTAAACAGTAACTAAATGTGAACATTTGCTAATCCAGACTGGATTACCTGATTCATATCAAAGTACAGTGGAAGAAGTGTACAAGTAATACTTTTGATCTAAAAGTTGCATTATTACATTTTCTCTGCATACATAGGATGTCTTGCACATACAGTATTACACATTATATTTTCACATATACATATTAATGCCCCTGTACAAAAACAGTGTGTACTGTAGGTAACCCACAGGGCTGATGAGATAAGCTTCTTATATGTTCATTCATTATGGAAAAACACAATTTGTTTACTTCGTTTAAAAAAAAATCATTTCACTTGCACTGCATGTTCAAGGTACCTTTTTGGCTAGTGCGAGAATGAAAAACAGTTTTAATGAACCAGTAAATAATCATTTCAGCACAGCCTTATTAATGCTTTCTTGCTAGAACTCATTCCAGAAAGTACGATTTTCGATTAAGCCACTGATTTGTTAGTGACATTTTCAATAGTTTTTCCAGTTTTAATTCAGATTTAAAATTGCACTTTTGCTTTAGAAGTTTCAAGTTTTATTTGTGTGTCAGCCTTTAATCGATAGACTTTAAGAGCAAGTGAATTGGGTCCTGCTATTTTGGGTAGAATATCACAACTTGGAAAAGGCTGTGAGAAATTTAATAACAGATACAGTAGGAATCCATAGATTTGATGAACTGGAATGTGGCTACTATTTGCTGTAGGTAAGCACCAATATGAGATTTATTATTTTATTGCTTTTAACATTTCCAGACAAAAAAAAATATTTAAATTTTGATCTCCTATGAAACCACCCGGGAATACACCTGATTTTTTCTAATCATCTTTAAAAAACAAATATGTTGAATTCCAGCTATAAAATATTTCTGTATTAGGGTGATATATTGTTATTGTTGATGTGTTTTCTTAATGTTTTCTTTTACAGTATATTACTGGCTGGATAGGAGATCAGGTACATGGCTGGCCATGTGAGATTATATCCAGTATTCACAGTATATATACTGTACTGTATATACTCAGTGATGGACACACTTTTCCTATGAATCCTCCATTTACAGGAGGATTTTCAAAGCTAATTTGCTACAGAGCATTAAATATAAAGGTGTCTAACAAGCTGTCAACTGGTGTACATTTGAGAAGCTGCAGCTGTAGGGAATTTGTCTTGATAAGCTGCAGCTGTTGGTTGTCCAAGATTCTGCACTAGCTCTCTTGAACCACTAATAGAAAGCACTAGCTGTCCTAAAAAGAGAAAGGAAAACCATTCATTTAAAAAAAAAATAGCAGTGCATATCAATGGAGCACCTTCCCAAATCTGAAGTGTGTGAGATAATTTAAGATATTAAAGTGCTTGTGTTCTCCAGGGATGTGGGTGGGGGCCACTCTGTTACATACAGTATGGGGACTCAGCCATGTGTGCACCCAGGTTTGCACATGTCTGGTAGTCATATACTGTAGCACACATGGGATCTTTGAGTATTAAACCTGGGAGTTAGGCCATAAAAACCTGTGAAACCTGGGCATACCGATTTGGTGCTGTTGCTTTAAGGAAGAGAGAGTGTTTGTGTCATTAATGATGGAATGAGGGGACATGCAAGACAGCAGCTGCTGTATCAGGTGCATTAGTGTGGCTGTTTTCATGACGTCCCTGGCCAAACAGGATTAGCCAAGATAGATGTGTATCCCAGTTGACTTCTGATTATGGATTGCTTCCCTATCTCAGGGTCCAAAACAGAGTAAGGACCAATTTACAACTAAGAAATGTGACTATCAGAGAACTTGATGTCTCGATAAGCTACAGTTGTGGGATATCTTTATAAGCTACTGTTTGTCTGACTCTTGAGAGACACCACAGGCAGTTTCAGACTTCAAAGAGACCCAGAGAAACAGAGAAGAAAAACTGCTCTCATGACACTGGAGCTAAAATTCCCCAGCAATACTGTTGGAGACAATGGGTTAAAAAGGGGAAAAACTGTTGGCAAGTGAGGGTAAACTGAGAGTGTGAAAAATCATGTACAGATGGGCCCACAATGAGGTCACCTAGTGGGGTGTGGTTGTTAAAAGGTATTACAAAGCTAGACACAAATGTTTAAAGCACAGTTTAAGCAAAAATGTTTTTGAGATTAAAAAGTTAATTTTGCACTGGAGCATAATGGTGAGAAATTTGAAAAAGACACACTCAACTAAATCCCACAGTATAAAGGCAATGTTCAGTTGGAGGTGCATCTTAAAGCATAACAGCATAATCTCTTTTACTGTTACTATGCCTTTGTGAATTCTAATTGTATTTTTTGTGTGTAAGTATACCAATTTACATTCACAAATTATAATCTATTCAATGCCAACCCTCAGTTTCCCCAAACTGCTTTTTTGTTCACAGTTAAGATTCCAACCAGACGAACATACATTGACCCTGATACCTGTGAAGACCTGATCCAGGCTGTCCATGTCTTTGCGAAAGAACTGGACAACTCCAGCATTAAAATAGAGAGAATCATAAATACAGGTTAGTGTTGTTTGTGTTTTACACAGGTTGTTCAATGGAGAAAACAATCTACATCAACCATGAACAGTAAAGGGAAAGTAAATTAAAGTTTTGAAATATTGCATCATGCATTTCCACATTTTATGTTTAAGTGTCTGTAACATTGCTTTTATTAGTTCAAGTAGGTGGCTGCGTCACCATGTGTACAGTAGGTTGCCTTCTTCACACCTGAATAAGTTTTTCTTCTCTTTTCAGTATGGAATACACCTTTACTTGTTCCTTTGCAGCCTATGCATGCTGACACAGCTCCCTACTTGAATTTCTCTGGACAGGATGCCCATCCATCACAGTGCACACACAGCCACAAACACACTCTTACACTGATAGCACACCAGGAGAGAACTGAACCCAGGGCTCCACAGCTTTGAGGCAGCAATGCTAACTACTGTGCCACTACGCAGTCCTGTATGTTCCATCTTTTTTTAAATGTTTATTTAAGCAAATACAGTGATTTATGGATAAACCGATAGACAACAATGAAAGTGAATTATTATTTACGCACCGATCTGCCAAGATGTCATTGAATAGGAATTGTAACTCAAAGTGTTCTTTTGCTCTCCATTGAAACTAGTTATCAAAGCCTTCAAATAATAATCCTAGAATTCACTTCTAGATGTCTAGGCAGGCACAGCAGGTATATAGAGCAGTTGTGAAATGTATGTGTTTTAAAAATCAGTTTGGTGTAAATACTTAAACAGACATGTAGATCACAGCATTAATATATTTAATGCTGTCCTTTATATGTGACTTAAATATCTTGTACTGTAAATATTTCCTATATTAGCTCTCCCTAAGCATGGCTAATTCCCATACCAAACCTCATCTTCTCCTTCATGTGAGCCTGGGCCTGACGGAGTCTGACGGAGTGGGCAATCTGTAGAAACACAGAGTGCAATCTCCTATTGCTCAAGTGAGCCTGGGCCTGACGGAGCCTGACGGAGTGGGCAATCTGTAGAAACACAGAGTGCAATCTCCTATTGCTCAAGTAAAATGGAGAAAACAAAATGTATGGTAACTAAACCATCAATGCAAAGCACAGATTTCTTCTATAGTCTCTTGTGTATGTTAGGAATTGCATGGAGAACTGCTGTAAATAAAAATACATTAACATGTAGACTGACATTTGGTATCTACTGTAGGTGAATTTGGAGAGGTGTGCAGGGGATGCCTGAAGCTTCCTAGCAAGAGGGACCTTCCAGTGGTCATAAAGACCCTGCGAGCTGGCTGCTCAGAGAAACAGAAGAGGGTCTTTCTGACAGAAGCCGGGATCCTGGGGCAGTTTGACCATCCCAACATCATACGCCTGGAAGGGGTGATTACAAGAGGTGAAAGAGGCTCCTTTTCCATAAATAAAATCTATGCAAAGAATGTTTTTTCACAATGGATTCTCCCTTATCAGTCAGCTGACCTAGAGGAGCTGTTACTACATCTGGTCCGTTCTGCTGAATGGAGATTTTAGAAGTTCTGTTTTTTCTATGCATGCTCCCTGTGTGTAACATTCCACCACTATTTGCCCTCATTATGCAGATGAATAATAGTAAGTGAGTGAAATGTGAGCAGACAGGAAAAACACAGTAGGTCACATTTCCCATACCTCTGAAGGAGATTAGAACTATTAATTCATTATGTAAACATAGCAAGTTAAACTGCTTTGTCTCTGTGTTAGGTTAATTACGTTTAGAAGAGCAGAGAAAGAGTGGAATCTGTTTAACTGACAGGAGGTGAAGGCTGAAAACTAACAGTGCTGTGCAGTGGCACATCAAGAATCTGTAGAACTGGGTAATTGTGGCTACAGCGGGATACATGCTCAGCATGTCCAAATACTAATAGGCAGCAATGCAGATTTCACTGCATTAACTGTGCAAGTGTGTTCATTATCTTCATAAGGAATGGGAACATCTAGGTCCAGTTTTCTCCCTAACTGGTCCCACCAGTTTTGCTACAGAAGCCAATTACAGGGGAAGCAATTCCGTATAAAGAGTGGTTTTGCAGCAGGAAGCAGTAATACACCTCCATGATCAAACCCTTAGCAGTAGGATGTGTGCCATTTTGGACACTCTGTGAAAGTGGAACACTTGATGCAGTTTGGTGTCTGCACTCGAGTGAAGTCTCCAGTACCAGTATGTACAGCAAATCATTAAAGATAAATTGTTGTTGTTGTTGAACCAACAGTAAATGGGAAATTGGGGTGAGCCTCACATCTGTATACCGCATACAGTATAACAAATTTATGACTGCAGCCTGCATTACTCCTGCTATTGTAACATCCACTCACTCACAGTTCACACTTTCTTCTTTCTTATTACCCTTTCAGCATGAAATTACTAAATGTGAGACGAAACAAACTGAGACACACACTTATGAGTGTTCATGTACTGAGCTGATGTTTACAGAAATAGAAGATTTTGCCTGTTTAAAAAGTACTGTACTGCAACAAACACGACCGCTGAGGAGAAGACGAAAGTAAAGTTCTCTGGGAGTGTTGCCAAGAATAGTGCAATATTAAGTCACTAGGTCCTTATGGGTGAATAAAGAGGACGTCATATGAGGTTTGCTGATGTCTATGAGCAAGAATAATGACTTTTCACTGAGATAGCATTATAGTGTGAGGGGCCTTAAAGCAAACTTTAGGAGATGGCTTGCTGTTTTTATAATGGCTTACTGTTTTCATAAGCTGTAACACACCTCCATAATCAAACCCGTAGCAGCAGGGTGTGCGCCATTTTGGATACTCAGTGGTAATCATAACTGCACAATTATGGTAATAGTATTTTGAGAATTGTCGCCATCTGTATTGACTGCCACACAAACGTTGGTCTTATCTTCTTGCCTTTAAACATGATAGAGCTTGTATACACACAGCAAAACCCACTCCAAACTTTTTTGCTTCAGTGTGGGACAGCCTGCTTTTTGTCCAGATTTCAACACAGTCAATGAACTCACTCTGGAATTCACTGGGTAAATATAGGAGCATCTTTGCATGTCTTTACAAGTCTGTGCATACACTTTGCATGCTTGTGTTTGAGCAAAAAACACCTCATACTGATCACTTAGAGGTGTCTGAATTAACCATGCGACTCCTAATACCACCTTTGATATCTCAACTTTCTACTCAGAATCTTGTTTCTGAGTTGTTTTTAATTTTAACATTAAAGTGAAACAATGGATTTAAAAAACTATTTAACAAGTGGTTCTATGCATTCTTAAATATTTATGTTTTGTTTTCTTGTTTAAGCATAATTAAGAAAGCTTACAACTGAGAATAAATGATTTAACCCATTTAGTTTATTTCGTTTCTAGTAGCTTTATGATTTAAGAATTGTATTTAAGTTTTTTAAAAGACTGGCTTCAACCATGCCATAGGAGTTCAGTTATTATTTTCCATAATCCTGGGTTTTAATAATTATCTCATGTTTTCTACCTTGAGTGATCCTAAACATAAATGTTCCTTGTGTCACTGGGTCATCTTTGTATTGCTGTCAATTTTGTAGAAATAGTTAGAGAAGATCTTTCAACTACTAACAACCAAACAAGCTTGTCTCTTGAGATGAGTTTCAGGATTTTGAATCCCAGTCAAGTCTCTATCTAATTTTTATACTGATAACTTAAATCTATGGTTGAACATCTAAAATTTCTGTTTATGTGTGAAAATGTATTGACTTTAAGTGCTTTGCATCAGTATACTGCAGGAGCTGTGGTGAGATATTAATAGTTTTCAGTACCCACTTCCTTTCCAATCTCAAGGGATTAGTTGCACCTGTTCTATCAATAAAGATGACTTGCACACATTCCTCTTCAATCTGTGTCAGTAAAGAGATTGCAGGGATAATTAGCGGCAGCTATTAGGAAGAATTTTTATTGTGCCATTTTCTGTCTGAGTAATCCAGATCTTTCTTCGTAAACGCATCTTCCACAATTACACCCCGTTTTATGACACTGTGGAAATTAACGGATCCTACTGTGATAATTAGAAAGACAAATTATCTGCTTACATTATTTTCCACTATTGTTGAGTCTCTACATCGTGCTGAGTGCAAACACATAATTCTCACAATTTTTTTTTCTAAAGTAATGCAATGGATTATGAAGGAGACATTAAAGTCATTAATACTGATAGAAGGTGACACAGGAAGTTTAAATAAGCTTCTCTATAAAGACATAAGCAACATTTTGCTAACGATTGGAGCATTTTTGTGCGAAGTGTAACTTTAGCTGTGTTCTGTGCTTTTGTAGAGCACAGTTAGTAGTGCAAGTTAAAATATTTCAGGTATTTTTAGAGACCATAGGAAGAAAATAATTGTCAGTTCCAGTTTTCTCAAATCAAACTGATCTTTTGAGTTCATAACAATCACAATGCCAGGGTTAATTAATTTGTGTCCTTAAGAGCAAACTCCACCAGGTTTTAAAGGACATCTTTATATTTTCATCCATTTCAAACCTGGAAAAGAGTTTTACTTTAGTCAGTTCAAACAAGAAACGAGTTAAATAAGGCAACTAAGATGTATCCCTTAATGCATAAGCGCATTAAGGAATCTTTGTGAAGTACTTTGAGTTAAAAATATATAGTTCAGATACAGTATGTTGCTTCTCCTTTAATTATACGTTTTATATATTATTTATTATATTATATATTTATATATGTTTTCCATTGTCTAGATTTAGAAATGTAATCTTTTCTCACAAAATACTTAACTACTGGTTTCAATTCCTTTGGATTAATCTGTAGCTTGATTAATGTTTTTTCTTTATAGGAAATACCATGATGATTGTGGTGGAGTGTATGACAAATGGAGTATTGGACTCTTTTCTGAGGGTGAGTGTTAAAAATCTGTATGAAATTTAACATGCTCTTCAGCACTTCAGCAGCGTTCTACACCTTTGAAAAATACACGAAACTACCTATCATAATCTACCTGTTTTGTTAAGCTTGCCAGTTGTTGCATCTGTTTTTATCACATAAAGGTACTTCAAATTTCTGCTAAGATGTAGTAAATGTGGACTTTAAAAATTACAGTCCAATTCCACGTAGTATCTAAATCTTTTTTTTGTGCAGAGGCAGCCTGTGTGTTAGGGATGCTCAATTCCTTTTGTGGCTGTGCAGCTAATATGATAGCTACACAAAGCTAATATGATAGTGTACTGCAAAATGTGATGCAGAGCAAATCACAGTTTGTTGTGTTGCAGAAACACGAGGGCCAGTTCACTGTGATCCAGCTGATTGGGATGCTGTGTGGAATTGCTTCTGGAATGAAGTATCTCACTGAGATGGGATATGTTCATAAAAGTCTTGCAGCTCACAAGGTCCTAGTCAACAGCAACCTGGTGTGCAAAGTATCAGGATTCAGACCATTACAGGAGGAGAAAATAGAGTCTGTGTATACAACGCTGGTACGTACTGACATTTCTTTAGAAGGTTTTTTACAGATGAGTGTTAAACTACTGTGTTTAATAAAGCATGTCTGTCCTGACAGCTTTAGAGGTTTCTTAATTGACCAACTCTTTGCCAGTTAAACATTTGTGTGAATCACAGTATCACAGTAATTGCACATGAAAACATCAGTTTTCCAGAGTTCTGGAGACATTTCTTACTAAAGATGTTATTCACATACTAATTATTTAAATTTTATAAAACCTTTAATTTGCTACTAGAGTCTTAATAGGCACATAATGTTAGAAAGAAGATGTTATTATGGAAGCGTTTCCCAACTGCTTATTATTTCCACTTGTATACTATATATTTGAACGCTTTAGGCCAGTGTTAAATAGTGAATATTTGTTATCCAAACAACATAATATCACACATAAGGGGACAGGTAAGTACAGAGTGGGAAATAAAAAAAAACAATTAACATAAATCTGAATATCACAGATTTACCCGAACAGTACTGTAGGTATAATTTAAGGCACTTAATTTTCTAATTCTCTGGTAAAAGAGGAATAAATCACAGGCAGACTAGAACAAATATTTATTAACAATGACAACATCTCAAAGTAAATGACACAAAACGTTAGACAACATACAACATTAAGGAAAAACATAGATACTAGTTAAATTATTCACAAAACAAGGCATCTCAGAGGCCTACAGTATGTTCCACAGACCCAGAAACCCAGAGTGTTTCCCATTGGCCTTTACCATTCTTGGCCTCCTAATATCCCCATATATGAATTGGATTCATCTCTGTGTTCTCCTCCCCACTGATAGCTAATGTGTGGTGAGCGTAGTGTGTGCACTTTGGCTGCTGTTGCATCAACCAGGTGGATGCTGCACATTGGTGCTGGTGGTGGACCCTATTACTTATAAAGTGCTTTGATTGGAGTTTCCAAAAAAGCGCTATGCAAGTATAAGATTTTTTTTTAGAAGTACAAACTTGGATGCAAGAGACACGTGATGGTACTGCTTCTCTCTGTCTTCCTTCTGTTCCTTCCCTGTCCTTTTTTTGTGCTGTGTACTAGGACTCACGAAGACTCTAATAATTTATTTTATTTGCATACTTTCTCTGTGACCTGTCCCCTTGCATTTTGTGCAAGTGTTAGTATGAGATCCTAATATCACTAGCAATGCTTGAACTGCATATAAACTCATACAGTAACTGCATCCAGTTTATATGAGCTTCTTTATGTGCAGTTATTACTGTAGTCTGTTATCTATCACTTTAGCTACAGCTCAGATTCTTCCTTCTAACATCACGGGCAATTATTCTCTGCAGAAATACAACTACAAGCATTTTTTTTTGCTTTCCAGACTAGTACCATTGCTGTTAATCTCTGTAAAAAATAATGTGTCAGAAATACTGCCATTTAGTTCTCTTAAAGCAAAGGAGAAATGACTGCCAGATTGTCATTTTGTTTTTCACAGAAAAAGAATCAGTGGAACTTGAATTTGAGAAAACTGTACTTCATGTGTCCATCCTGGTTTAAAACACAGGTGGCTTTAAATGTTGGGAGAAATGTCAGATAAGCATTTTGTTTCACATAGGTGCAACATTTCGGAGCTCGGTTTGTGTTGCCTGAGGACTAATGCCTTTCAAGTTGATTATTTTTAATCAATTTTCAAAGTGTTTGGAAAATTGAACAGTGTGTGGGACCAGCCATGTTACACATGAAAATAATAATAATAATAATAATAATAATAATAATAATAATAATTGCTTACACTTATATAGCGCTTTTCTGGACACTCCACTCAAAGCGCTTTACAGGTAATGGGGACCACCAATGTGCAGCACCCACCTGGATGATGCGACAGCAGCCATAGTGCGCCAGAACACTCACCACACATCAGCTATCAGTGGGGAAGAGAGCAGAGTAATGTAGCCAATTCATGGATGGGGATTATTAGGAGGCCGTGATTGGTAAGGGCCAATGGGAAATTTGGCCAGGACGCCAGGGTTACACCCCTACTCTATTTTTTCGAGAAACACCCTGGGATTTTTAATGACCACAGAGAGTCAGGACCTCGGTTTAACGTCTCATCCGAAGGCACTGCCTGTTTACAGTAATACAGTTTACAGTCCCCATCACTATACTGGGGCATTAGGACCCACATGGACCGCAGGGTGAGCGCCCCCTGCTGGCCCCACTAACACCTCTTCCTGTTTTTTCCATATACTGTAGTTTTCTGGATGATGCCTACAAGTTGTGTAAACATTCTTTAGAATGAAGTTTGATTTTTTTTCTGTATAAATACATTTTAAGGTTTATATTTTGATAACAAACTTACATGTAACTTGTGCTGTGATATTCAGTGCTATTGCCAGTATATGCCAGATTTCCAATCTGTTGGTTCACCAGTTTTCAAGGAAAAAATTATGAATGAGCACCTTTGTACCACATGGGTGAAACATGATATCAACTATCTAGTGATCTAGGATTTCATATAGTCAGTAAATGTATCAAATTTTCAAAGTGTATATGCAAAAAAACTTCAATTGAAATCCTAACACAACTTTCAGGAATAAATCCAGATAGGTGTAAGAGATGAAATCATAGGGTTTGATTCACTGGGATGTCAACTTTTTTACCTTTGCTGCCCCTTTGAAAATATAACACCGTCATTGAGCACTTCTGAAGTCCAGTTGGCTGCCTACTGATTAGATGATGTGTGGATTTCTTTATTCACAACTATTTCTTATGTGTATAATACCTGGTGTGTGTTCCCTAGCATGGAGGAAAGAATATGGTTTTGTGGACGGCTCCAGAGGCCATCCAATACCACCGATACAGCTCAGCCTCAGATGTGTGGAGCTTTGGCATCATCATGTGGGAAGTTATGTCTTACGGAGAGAGACCTTACTGGGACATGTCCAATCAAGATGTGAGTTCAGTTTATGTACTGTATTGTATATGTAAATGGCTAGAATATAAAAATTAGTTTTAGCTCGAGAATGATCAACCATTTATCATGTTGTAATTGCAGAGATTACAAGTTGTCATTATTGTTGCCTCTAATAGGAACAGGTTGTTTTGGAATAATATCAGATCGCTGCAGGTGATGTACAAATTATTGTCTTTCAGGTTGGCATTCTGAGTGCTTAATGTCATTTTCAAATGGCTTGCCATGGGCTTTAAATATGTTCAGTGATGGGATTTTTTTCCCTCTAATAACGCATATTAACCATTCAGATAAATGTATTAACGTAAACCAAAAATTATCAAACAAATTGTAGCTGCTTACAATATATGATACAAGTGTCATTTTAAGAGCTCTTCGTGCTGCTTTTGCTGGGGGCATTACACAGTTCTTTAGGAGGGATCAACTTTAGTTCCAGCTGTGAAAACTACCGTGTTTTTTCATTGTATGTGGTTGATAAAATTAAAATATTTCCTGTATCTTTAGTGATGAATAAAAAGCCTAATCAGTGCACAGTTAATCCTGGAATATTAAACCCTGTTAGGGTTTTTTCCATTTAAGCTTGACATTTAGAAAAGGCCATTAGTAAATATACCATTAAAAAGAACACCAGTGTCATAAAATGAAGTTATAATGAACATCGGTGTGAAAAAGTCTTAAAATGTACACCGCTGTAAAAAAAACATGTACATATTATTCAATATGAAGTACTGTAGTTCAGGTCGGTAGCTGCATCAGCATACATAGTCTGCAAAGGAACAAGTAATAGGTTTATTCCATGCTGAAAAGAGAAGAGGGAAAAACAACGTTTCAGCTTAATGTCAAACGTTAAACGTGAAGCCTTCATAACACCAGTGTCATAAAATGACGTTATAATGAACATCAGTGTGAAAAGGTCTTAAAATGCTCAGGTATGAGCATCTGAAGATCTGACAGATGTGACAGAAGATTCTCACAGGGTTTAATATTCCAGACCTACCTGTGCACTGATTCGCTCACACCTGAAGAAGGCATCACAGCCGAAACGTTGTGTTTTCTCTCTTCCCTTTCAGCATGGAATAAACCTATTACTTGCTCCTTATTCAATATGAAATGTTTTTTTTCAAAACAGCCTGCACAACATATAAAATAGATTTAATCCACTTTATCATTTAAATTTGTTGACCAAACCTTTTTAAAAATGATGAAGGGGGATGAAGTGACTTGGGAGTCTTAATCTGTTTAATATAATACTGTATATCCCATCAAATCATAAATGATGAAACTTCCCTTGTTTTTAAAACTTGAACTTATGAAGAAGTCGTTCTAATGCTAAACAGAGAGAAATAAATAAGAACGATGGAAGATGAAACTGTGGTAATCATTTGAGGTTCAGAAAATGAAAAAAAAGCTATCCTATGTTTTTTCCTTTAATGGTCTAAAAAAATGAATTACTCTTGGCAACTTTGGGCATTTTATGATGACATTCGATCAAAAATCCAATCAAAAATTTCATTTACTGTATTTTTAGTGAAGATGAAAAAGCTGAAAGAGTTCAGGTACCTGTAAACCTACAGTATAACATTAAACTCTGTTATAGCTGCATAATATTCTTTGCCATTTAAACATTTAGAAAATGTCCACTAATAAATGCACCATTGTTCCATATAAAACTTAACATAACTAGGAAGAGTCTATAGTAAATTATAAACACATCTCGAGAGCCTCTAGGTTCTTCCCCAACAAATATTTGATTTAAACACCTAAAAATAGTATTACTGTCTCCAACAGTACAGCCGTACTCCCCTTTAGGACAGGTTTAAATAAACTAAATGATACTTTGGCTGCCAGCAGCTACAGTAGCTAACCAACCAAACTGCAGACCTTCTCTCATGCATAATCGTATAGTATATCCTTTTCAATTCCTGTAGCCAATCCAACAGATCCTAGTGGTATAACATTATGCAGACACTCCTGTTAGGTCATTCAGAGCTCAAATGCAACAAAACCCAGCTGAACCTGGCTGTCCTAGACTGGTGTTTGGTAATCCTTTATCCGTAATAGACAAGGTGTGGACTTTAAAAAAGTTCTGCTGCAAGTAAAACACAGTGAAACAAATGTCCAAATGGTGGTCAGAGGACATACATCTAGCTAACTCCCTAGCTGATTTTACAGTGAAAAGTGCCATAGAGAAGACGATCCCTAAATTTTAACTAGCCTTACCTGTCTGTTTTTATGTGGATTACTCCTGTCAGGCTGCTTTTTCTCATGTGTGGCCGATGACTTGTAATACAATAATTATTTTGATAAAGAACATCTACAGACTTTCAGTTTGATCAAAACATTTCACTAATCTCCTGGTCTAAGACCTTCGTCTCTCTGCATTGGAATATTGCAGCTCTCTCTTAAAGCAGCCTGTAGCCGCCTTCTGCCCTCGCCCCAGACTCCTCCTCAGCTCACTTCAGATATTCTCTAGCTCACTTCTCCCTGACACCCCCTCTTCTGACTACCTGTGTCTGTTTGGGTTCAGTTGAATACTCTTGAGCTTACCTACACTCATGTGAGATATCATAAACTTACCATATCTGACATCATCTCTATATTTGATTTTTGTTCAGCTACAGTGCACTACAATTTTTGGTCATGATATTGTTTTTGCTTTGACTCTTTTACTCTGTGATGAATATATTTACGGATTTCTTTGATGTATACCAGTTTGCATTACGTATTTGGAGTATTTGTGCAGTATTAATACTTTGTAGGTCACTGTTTATTCGACTTGTGTAATTGTGTTATCTGCCATGATAAGCTTTGGGGACCTACTACTAAAGCACTAAGTGTCTCCTGAACTTGTTTTTGCAGGTCATTAAAGCTATTGAGGATGGTTTTCGTTTGCCTGCTCCTATTAACTGCCCTACACCTCTCCATCAGCTAATGTTGGACTGCTGGCAGAAGGATCGCAATGAGAGACCCAAATTCACACAAATCCACAGTATCCTCAACAAAACTGTGCGCAATCCTGATAGTGTAAAAACATCCACACTTGCCCGTACAAGGTATTTATTTTTGTCTATTTCCCTAGCACTGCACATTTACTGATATTGCAGGGTATTATGAGTGAATGGGGGCAGCAGCTTGCTCCCACTGTACAAAGACATTCTGGTGGATAACGGGGCTCCAAATGAGCAGTTTTCTAACTGTACCCCCGGTGTGAGTGTATGCATGTTTCTCTCTGGGCATCTGCCCTGAGATGGACTGGTGTCCTGTCCAGATTGTATCCTGCTTTACAGCCATTGCTTGCCTATTCAGGTATTCGGTAACATTTGGTGCATTCGGGTACAATCAAGTACATTGGGTACATTCAGACACATTCTGGTACATTTGGGTACGTTTGGGGGTTCATTCGGGTACGTTCGGGCATCTTCGGGTACATTGAGGTACATTTGGGTGCATTCAGGTGAATCGGTTACATTGAGAACATTTGGGCACATAGGGTACATTCTGGTACATTGGGCATATTCAGGTATATTCAGGTATATTCTGGTACATTGAGTGCATTCAGGTACATTCTGGTACATTGGGCACATTCAGGTATATTCTGGTACATTGGGTACAGTCAGGTACATTGGGTGCTTTTGGGTACACTTGGATACATCAGGTACATTCTGGTTCATTTGAGTACATGGGCACATTAAAGTACATTCCTGTACTTTAGGGTACATTGAGTACATTCAATTACACCTGGACCAAGAACATGGTCACAATTGTAATTGAGATATACTTTGGATAGTCTGATTTTTTGTTTTTGTTGTTGTTGTTCACCTTTTCAACCCTGCCATTAATTCCACATTCGTGCAGGCAACATCAAATGGGTTTTTAACAACTTGTATCCTGAAGATTCCAGCGTTTATTAGAGATCTTCAACAGCTGACTTTTGATTTGTATTTGCCTTATATATCACTTGTCTCACAGCCTGTGTCTGAAAAATATATTTGTATTCCCTTCCTGGAAGGATCATTTTATGTTATTTGCTTTACATTTTCTTGCTCCTTGTCCATGTATAATGTCACTCAAAACTACATCTTTTTAAAAATATTTTTCTTGTTTAACTCTCATTTGCAAAAACTTACCCATAACAGAACTGAAAAAAATTGTAATGACCTTCTGATTTTTCTTTCTCTTATGAACTGGGGTTATTTTTTAAGTTTTCCAGTCTGTCGATGCAGCTCCCTTCCTTAGTTCCATTTGAAACATCCTGGATAAAGTTCTATAAATAGTATTTCTCCTGTCCTTTAGTACAACTAGGAAAATACCACCCTGGCTCCCGTAATGCCTTAGTATCTGTTATATTTTACTCAGATTACAAATTACTCGGTACTTATGTAGGTCCTTTTATAACCAGGGAACACAGTCAAAATCTTTTTTTTAATTCAGAATGATAAACCAGATTTAAAATATTTATTTAGCACCATGACTATTTGTTAGTACCGATCTGATATTATCTTGAGAACTAAAACCTTTACAATTATGTTGTTTCAGTATTAAAACATTTTCAGAATTATTTCAGAGATTTCAAGTTTACCTCTAGGGTTACCATACTGTGTCCACAATTTCCCATTGGTTCTACCCTGTGTATTTCTTTATATCCTGGTTGTTTGGGAAGATCCGGTCAATAAAGGCATCTCTAGTGGTGCCTTTACAAACTGGGTTAAGAAACAATTACTTACCATTTTCACTATATCAATTTCAGCATAACATTTTCCATCAGATTATCCCAAATTTTATATAAATCCAAATTTATTTTGGAGCATTTGAACCCCTTATACTGTACAGTACATACCATATTACTGTTGCTACATATAGTACTTTCATGAGCTCATCAAACAGTAAGCTAAAGTACAGTATGGGTGCACATGACTGTATTGGGTGGTTTATACAGTAGTTGTACCCAATACTAGCTTTTCAGTAGCCTAACATTCTTCCATTTTGTCCCTCATAGCTGTAACATAGAGAAATTAGTATTAAATCACTAATTTCTGATTAATTGATGTGTTCTAATGAATTGATATGTAATAGTGTTTTGTGTTTTGCATTAGCATTTTTGATCTAGATATTTTTGATCTACTGTAGATGTTTTACTGGGGGAGTTTAATTTTGTTACAATGTTTCCATGGCTTGGTCAAATTCTAATGATGACAAAGCCAGGCAATAAAACAAAGCATAGAGTACTTAAGCCGTTAACTGTTAACTCGTTAACTCACCTAAATGAGGAAATAACAGCACTAACCTGTCACAACCCCCCTCACTTATGAGGAATGAGCCAGGGAGGGTGCTGCAATGGTGAAACGGGATGGTGGAGCTGTGCTAGAAACAAGTGTACAGTCAGGAAGCATTTATACATAGGGAAGCAGAAGTGCAATGTTAGAATGTAACTTCATTTCGAACTTTTGTAAATAACACTATTTGTTGAGGTAACAATATAATGTATAATTTTTAACCCAGATCCTAGAGGGATATTTTGTTTATTTCAAATCAACTCAACTCATTTTCTTCATTGAACCCTTAGTTCTTGTGGGGAACAGTATTAAGTTCCTGTGTGGCTGTACAATCATACTGTATAATTGATTAAATATCAAATTAAGGCAGTTGAAATAAAAAATAACAAGTAGTAACTTAAAGAATTATTAAATACAGTATCTATTAGTTTTGCTGCCCATCAGACACAGATGTCTGAATTAAGAAAGGTGTTCTATAAAAGAAAATACGAAGTATCTTAAAAATGGTTGGAGGGATATACTGTATAGTCATATGAATATATAGTCATCTGAATATATAGACACAACAAATAAGAATTAGCAACTCTGAACAATGGTATTATATTAAAATATACAGCATAACATAACTATTACAAGCAATATTTCTGGTTAATGACATTATTAGAGTTTCATGCTAAACGCCTTAAGGGTACCAAACAACACTCACTCACTGTAATGTCATTGTGTTGCAGAACTCTCAGTACCTCCATTCCTTTGACTGAGCGCACCTTCAGCTCCTTTCCCAGTTTCAGCTCTGTGGGAGAGTGGCTGGAGGCCTTTGAGATGGGCAGATACAAGGATAACTTCACAGCAGCTGGCTACTGCTACCTGGAGTCAGTAGCACGGATGACAGTCCAGTAAGTGTCTAGAGTAGCAGTGTGAATAGTGCTGCACTTACTGTACATTATCACAAGAAATCCAACAATCAGTTAACAAGACAAAATGACTTTGTGTGAGAGAAATCTGGTTTTGGTTTTCTGACAGAAGTTGAAAACTTTGAAATAGTGTGTGGAGAAAAGAGTCTTTCTTCCTCTTCAAACTTCACACATTTTTTAAATCTTTTTAATCTGGAGCAAACATTGCTCTTCTGTTGCTATTAGTGTCAAGAAAAAGTAGGCTGTATTCTTGTACAGAATCTTTTAGACCTGAAACATACTATACTAAATAATATATTCGGATTACTAATAAAATTATCCAACAGTAAATATCTCAGTGTTAATATCTATGTGAACCCGAAGATTCAGTTACTTGTAAGACATTTCTAATACCTGCTTCTGAAAGCACATCAGCTTTTATAAATTCTGGCTTATTCCTCCTAACATGCTGCTTCAGATTGGTGACACATGAACAGCTCACCTCAGGTGCTGGTATAACACTTCAGTGGTGGTTAGTTCAGTACCCTGACTTGACTAATCCAAAATTCAAAATTTATTTTTCAAGCATTCTGCTATAAATCTGTCATTTGTTAAGTTGTAGTGTTATTCCCTTTGACACAAGAGGTTGTTATTCTCACAGGCTTACTGTACATACGGCTTTGGAGTACCCTTAAAACACCACATAGTCAGCTATCGTATTATGAAGATTATACATTTACTGTAACACAAGCTTCTTGACAGGAAAAAGCAGGCTAAAAAAGAAAAATGATGAACATAAACCCATGACACAAAAACACTGGTGACTCACATCATTACTGATAAGCTGGCATTACAGAGACTCAGTGTCCAGCATGTGTTGCCATTATTGATGGAAAAAATGCAGGAGTGAAGTTTGGTGATGCCTCTCTCTTTTTTGTCTGCTCTGCTCTGCAGGGATGTGATGAGTTTGGGGATTACATCACTCGATCACCAGAAGCAGATCCTGACCGCTATCCAGACACTGAGAGCACAGGTCATACAGATGCATGGCCGCGGGGTACAGGTGTAGCCCTAAAGGACACACGCTTGATGTACTTTTAAAGTTAAAGGAAGAAAGACTGCCAAGGGCCGCTGACAACATGCATTTTACAAATGGAAGAGTCCAGCGGGAGGTCCTGTGGAAAGAATCTGGGAGGAGTGGATTCAGCTGAGCTTGCAGTGCTAGTCTAATAGTCCCTTTGTAACAAGAGGTGCTGTTCTTCTTTGGCACATGCCGGTTCTGCATCGGTACAGATAACAGGTTCTGTTTCCACCTCTGAAAATGCTTTAATGTGATTCGATTACTATACTGTCTGTCATACTGTGTCTGTGATGACTTCCAGGACTAACCTAGGAACGTCAAATTTTAACAGGGTCCTAAACTTTTGTCAAAAAAGCACTCACTGTGAGAGGCCCAGAGAGCAGAGATCATGATCACTGTCCTGTACCTGATCTGAATATCTGGAAAGATGCAACACATTTTAAGCATGAGAAAAGGTGGAAAACTTTCTAGTGGAGTGAAAAGAGAGTAGTTAATTATTTGATATTTTTGTTTCTATGTTACAGAATTGCACATACATGTCTCTACAGACATTTGATGGCAAGATTAATGATTGTTTATTAATTGTACCATTCTCTGGGCCATTTTTAAATATTTTTTTGGTACATGTAGACCAGAAAAACACAGTATTTCTTTAGTATCCATATGCTATTTGTTTTTGTGGCATCTTGGATAAAGGAATACCAAACATCAACATATGTAAGTGGATTTTGTTCTCACTTACACTATTTTTTTTCTTTTCCTAACTGATTACATACAAGCATTACCTAAATCAAAAGGGATACTGCTGTGTCTGCACACATAATAAACACACTGTAGCTTCTGAATTTGCAAGTTGGTGTTTTTAAATGTCCTCCCAATCCATCACCAGTTCTGTCCCAAGAGACAGTTAACCGTTTGTGTAAACCACACAACCTGATTTTGCATTTATAAGCCGAACATAGCAAGATGGATAATAAAGATAAAAACTTCTGGCAGCCGTTACAGTAGATATGCACAGGCACTGAACCAGATGTTTATGTTTGGTCATGATGGTAAGTTTTTTATGGTGTGAGTGTAGTTTTATTAAAATCTAATTTCTTAGAAAAAAAGTGAAAAAAAAAACTTTATATTGACTGCAAGCTTTATTTTTGCACTCATTTAAGCCAACAGTCTCTACATTAGCATTTCAGATTCTCTTGAAAGCTGAAACCGGAGTGAAGTTGTCTCCATTTGGCTTTTTATTTGCAAATGCAAGCCCTTGCCACCATGCAGTGCAAGTGTTAATCATGAAGGATTTCACTTCCTGACAAATGCCCATGATAATGAGAAGGCTTGAGCACAAAAGGGTAAAATTTGCAAACCATTACTCATGTGGGTCTAGATGGAAGAAATTGGCGATAGAAGTAATGAAGCATTAATTCTGGGTACAATCCCACAGAAATGCAATATGTATCACGGAAAGGCTGGGATGTGATACTGTTTTGTTTTGTACTGAAAATATTTATCTTTAAAACCCAATAACGCTAAAAACAACCTCCAAGTTAAAAATCATAGTATTCATAGAATTCATTTTTAATGACTTCCTTTATATCGAAGAAGCTGCATAAATAGTTGATACCCTCCAGACGTGCACCTTAATTCCACATTTAATCTACAGAATTTTTTTAATTCAATATACAATTTAGATAAGCTTACCTGTGCTAAAACGTTGCTGTAAACCTCTACAGTAATTGTCAATGCAGAAAACTGCTCCAGCTTGTTTTAATAGAGCTATTAATCTGTCTTTTAGAGCCTCTGCAAAGCTGCGAGAGAATCCATTGGCTGAAAAAACAAGATTCTAGATCTACACAGTTTTATATTTGGCTATAATTATTAGCTAAAGAGCCAGTCCATGTGGAGAAAAAAACTTTGAGGGTGTAATTTTACTTCATAAGAAATAACAACACCCAAGAACGAAAATGTATGGGAAATGTTTATTGAGTTTTTTAATTATTGGGTATCGTAGACCATTTCCCTGGCTGCAGGACAAGGAGGCAGGGAAGTTTAGAGTTAACACCATTTAGAGTGAGGAGTTAACCAAGGGGCAGCTACACAGCTGGAGATGGGTGGAGGAATATTAATGCAAAGAAGAAAATACTTACATTTAGTATCTTTAGTTTTGTTTGTTTAGAAAGTGGTGTTAGGAATGCTTAACGTTTGTGGCGGCTGAGACAGTGACAGTAAACATGGCTGCCATCCATTAGATTGTAAACTCAATTTGCATTAGCTTATTAGCTTTGCATGGTTAGACTGTTATTGCTTTATTTATTTATTTTATTTTATTTTGGTCAGGTGTTTTTCTACAGAGAAAGTTCTGCAGATAAACCCAAGATCATTACGGCAATGTCGGCAGCATTTTGGTGGAACTCAGGGCAACAGATTCCACAATTTCTTTTTCCAATTTTGTTCTAATATAATTTAAGAGCGGCACTTTTGATTTAAAAAAAACATGACTTGACATTACGATAAAGGTGCTTTGTGATAGAGGTAAAAATGATTGTTGTCATTTGAAGCTGAACAAATTCATGAAACAATACCTTGAAAACCACCTTGTAATTAATGTCTTTGTTTTTATTGTGAGCTATAAATATGTTTTACACTGCCCTGCACTGAAAAAATTGTACTGTAAGTGTCACAAAGGGTCCTGATCCTAAGATCCATTGTGTTTAGTTTATTATCCCCAACCCAACAGTGACTGGATCAACTGAAATTAGAATCAGCTTGGCTCAGAGAAGCTTTTTACATTTTGCACATATGAGGCATTTCAATAATTAAGGTAACAAGATCTCTCATAGTTAAAAATGACATTCCCAGCAGGTATAGCAATATGTTCGACACAGTATTACCATCGTCTGCTTCACCATGAGCCCACACAAGCATGCCACCTGTTCATCATAAAGACAAGAATCAGCTAAGGACGTCATCAAACACAGTAGTTTGGAGAGAGATTTGATTTCTGGGCGCAGAACACCACTGGGATTTATTGCCAACCTATGGATGTGCAAAGACCTCATATCGTACCACAGAAACAGGTGTGAGGGCGAAATGATCAATGAAATTGATAAAAGCAAGACAGATGTTCAACATGAACAGCTACATGGGCATCCAAGCACTTCCTCCACGAATGAGAATGTGTGCTACACTGAAACGTTATCAACCACTCCAGTTCCAATCACACTATTTACAAGCACACTTGTAGCATGGGAGTTCCTGTCACCTTATTTATGGAAACACCTTCATATTTACCCATAGCAACTATACATTTTATCTTTAATGGTTTGCAAATATTGCATAAGAAATAATACAGCAATTGATTTACTCGTGTTAAAATTTCTTATTTACACTGTGTATACACTAGGGATTCTTCTCCTGTACTTGAAAAATGTTAATTTTGTATGCATGTATTACAATGATGTTTCACCACGTCAGCAAGTCTAAATTAATTGAAACCTACAGGTACAGTAATCCTACAACCCTCAGCCAAACATAGCTTGTATACTATTTGTATGAGAGCATGTTTATATTTAAGATTGTTAGTCCAAAATAATGCCAATAATTAAAAATAAGCTGAGTTCCCTGCTTTAGGTCTCCATTATGTAGGATAAATATTTTGTAAATGAAAGTTTCTGTTGTAACAAAATCATTTTTGAGCATTTTTCTACAGACAAAGCTGGTTAAATTTTCTAAGCCATATCCTTTAACAAGAGAAGAGTCTGGTAGTATCTGGAATAGTCTGACAGTAATGTGTTGACCTTCCCTTTATACCACTAAAGCATTTTTATTCAGTTTAGAAAACGTCTTCACTCACTTGCTGCTTAATCTGGCTTTTTTATATATGTCCATGGTCAAAATGTGAAATAATGTAAATATGTATTTGAAAATGCAATCTATTTTTATAAGTTGTTTGAACAAGTGTATTCAAATATCTTCCCACTGTGTAACAATTTTATTGTTTGGGTTAGGAATATACAGTAGTTGAGAGAGTTTCTGAGTGTTTTAGAATAAAAAAGCAAGTTTTGTTATTTTTTTGATAATTTATACTTATTAGAACTCAGTTTCCTGTTAATATATAAGAAGTGTTATTAAAAAAATACAAAAATACCATTCTTGTTTTATTTGCTTCTTTAAACATTTCTGGTTGAGAGCATATACAGTATTAATAGTTAATTCTAAATACCTGAATGAACTACCAGAAAACAACACTGCAAAATTCATCTCTTGTTTAGCTGTCTCTGGTACACTGTTTTTACAGATATCTTCCAGGGAAGGCTTAAAGAGTACAAGGACATACTGTAAGGGAGTTTAAGATAATATTCTTCCCACTTTACTCAGCTACCCTGAAGACATGCCTTCTAGCTAAACCTGAACATATATTTTATTAATTTTACTCGCTGTCCTTTACACACAGTGAGTCAAAAGTACATCTATACTGAAACAGCCTTGTGCGTTGTCTTCGTTAATTCTTTTCAGGACTTATACTTAATATTTGCTTATGCTTCAGAAAACTGAAAAAAATAATTCAGGACCTTTTAATTAAAGTGAAGGGAATCTCTCTGCCTGGAGTCTTGGAAGAAAAGTTAAGTCCTGACAGACTGCTTGCAGTCACACGGTTGGAAATGTCAGATTGCCAGTTCACTTGGAGAGAGAGGATAAGCAGTGACTTAACCAGCAAAAATGAGTTATGAGGTACTGTAGCTTTTAAGGTGCAACATTACAGCTGGTGATTGGTTTAGGATGTTATCAGGTATAATCCTGGTACACACCCTACAGGTCCCTCATTAGCGGATGTCCTTTGGGTAATGTACAGTGACCTTGGGCCAGTGATCGTAGCAGAAAGAGACTTGCTAGACTTAAAGGAGCCCATCTGTGCCATGTACAGTACAGTACCATTAAGATGTTTCACAATGGAGACAGCTTTAGGACATTCTAGTCTATAGGCATCTTGGAAGCTGTGTCTTATTACTGGGCCCCTTCTAATTCCATTCCTCTGCTCCTCTGCAGGTCCAAACTGCTTTGTCAAGGCAACAGAAAAATTATTAGAAACCTTTAACAGCTCTTAATGCAATAGCATGCTTTGCCACTATACAAGTAATGAATAACATTTCCTGTACTCTGCTAAATACTCTAAAACATTAGCGTTTCATCCCTAAACTTTCAGAAAATTCTGTTTGCCTAAAAATAAATACCTCAAATGTTTTCTTGTTTATTCTTGATTCATTGTTTCTTTTCCCTGTCTCCCATTCTGCTCTGTTAGAAAAGGGAAGCCATTACCTTAACCAAACCTTTTAGAAATCATTTTTCATTTAAGGAACAAGTAATAGGTTTATTCCATGCTAAATAAAAAAAGAAGAACACACACCTGAAGAAGGCTCCACGGCCGAAACGTTGTGTTTTCTTCTTTTTTCAGCATGGAAGAAACCAATTACTTGTTCCTTTGCAGCCTAAACCATGCTGACGCAGCTACCCACCTGAACTACGAAATTTGTCATTTAATTTCAATTCGTGAAATTTTACAGATAACTTAAAATCTCATACTATTATGGTACCAGGAAGGAGGGCCGGTATAAAGAAGGTTGTGACTAAGCAAATAATTCAAGGGTCGTTTAAAAAAGATCCGCTTATATCATATGCAGAGGTTTTCTTGTGTGTTCTTTTTTAATTTGGAAGCATGAATTATACTCACCAGAATCAGAGGATCCTCTGATGAATTGTCTCTCTCAGTGGCAGGCACTGCATGGATAGCTCAAGGAGCTGAGACAAAACCTCCATCACGTTCCCTGGTCTGAACAAACTCTGGATCTCAAACGTTTTGGGAACCAGTGAACCCGATGGACCATGCAGTCCAATCCCACACACCATTACTCTCATCACAACACAGCTGATTATGATCCTGCTGGAAGAATGGGATGAAATATGCATGTATTTCAGAACCTTGCCCTGTCCTTTTAAATCTACCCTGCTTTTTTACCTTTGTTTTTTTTTTCTCAAGTTATTCATTGGGGTTCCTAATATTGTGACTAGTCAGTATATTTTTGTACTCTGCTGTTTAGATTTTCAGATATGTAAGAATTTCTCTGAACAAAACTTTTTTTTTTAATATTTGAAATACTGTAGCTAATTATTTTTATTTTATGGAATCTGCAGTTGACCACCACTTACTGTATGATCCTCATGCTTTTATGAAAGTGGTGAGGACCAGGTGTGGTCTTCTCCAGCACATACTGTACACTGTCAGAGTGCCTCAAACTGGATCCCCCAGTGCTAATGGCAGTTCGAATGGATTGGCAGAGTGATTCTTCCCTCACACCATCATTACAAATTGCCCAGGCACAGGGATGGTGTGTTGCATAGAATATTCTGCCCACTCAGTCTGAGCAGTCCTCAGAAATGTGAAATTAAGAAAATATGATAATGAGAACAAGCGTGTTAGCCCATCAGTGCTCATATATTTTATATACCCTGATTCCTTTACCACAGAATTCCTAGGTGTGAAAACTGCCAAAATGTTCCATGTGTCAATAACTCTTATGTAAACAGGAGTGTTGGTACAAATTGTTTTAGAATGTTTCCATTTACTGTATGTTCTGAGGATCCAACAACACCTGAAATAACTGTTTAGATCAAAGTTTTAAAAATTTTGAAGACCTCAAACTATCAAACTCAAACTTTTTTTATATAACATATCTTACATAGATTGAAAAGATTAAGCTCCTTTACCCTGTTGTGCCTTTTGTTTTAGTGTGCAGGGTTTGAGAATGCAGGGTGTTCAAGATACAAGATGGTGGCATCCCACAGTTAGACTATTGAGTGCTATTACTGTCAAATTCTACAAATTAAGTTACATTTCTGGCTGTTAACTGTTTGATACTTTCACTTTAAATTGTAGCAACCTGGAAAGTTTTATTGACTGATGTTTCTTTGAAGTGCCATGACAGAAGAAAAGATCAATTGAAACACTCCAAAAAGAGAACAATAAATTGCATGAGGCTGTCAAAACACTCACCGCCCAAGTCAAAACTATTGACTATGAAAATAAAGCAATGAAAGAAAATTTTAGACTTTCAGTGCCACAGCACAAGCGACAACTTGATTTCACCATAAAATCTGAACATACCTGACAACTCAGAAAATGCAACACAAATTAATTAAATCAGCTTTGAAACTTTCATCAGAAACTCTAAACAAAATAATTTCCACTTGGTGCAAAAATCAAGACACAATGCGTCACACAATGGACTAAGGTAGGCCAAAGTACTGCAGGTCCATTTTATAAAATAATCTACCACAAAGTACTCAAGTGAAGTAAGTGCAGTTTATTTACACTGCTTCCCATTTCCCCCACAAGAACAAAAATAATCTTCTGCAATTACTCTT